TTAAACAGCCCACATCTTCTCTTCTCAAGCCAGAACAGATGCTCAATGTAAGGACAAGAGCTTCTCCAAAGTGAACCACATCTATTCTCAGGGCGCTTCTCTAATGATAATGACTGAATTCATATCAGGGAAGCTAGCCATGACAATAGCCTTCAGGAGAACTAACAACTCCAATTAACAACATTTAAGGGAACCTACAACAATACACTCTTTATCTCTACATCTCTTTTTGTTCCAGAAACTTTCTTCAGATGAGCCAACTACATTCAGTAACATGCTGATTTAATTCAGCTGATTGTTAAGTTGATCCCCAGTTTTTAATCCATAACATCAAGTAGAGAGTTTTGAGGTAGTTATTGATATTTTGAATTTCTAAAGAATCTAGACTAATTTCACCCTTCATTTGTCATTGCATGCATTTAAGTTGTTTCATTCCTTTTACTTTTTGATAAGATTGTCTAGGGGTTTATGAATTTATTTGTGCTTTTAAAGAACCAACTCTCTGATCCATTGTTTGTATTGTTTACTTATTCTCATCTATATTCATTTTTGTTATAATTTTTTAATTTATTCCCACATATGGACATTAGGCTTGACTTGCTCTTCTTCTTGTCAACAAAGGCAAAGCAGAGGATATCAATATTTCTAAGTTGAAATTATACTAGAAAGTTACTATGATTAAACAGCATGGTACTGGGCAAACAAGTGATGTGAGGATCAATTGAAACAGAATAGAAGATGTAGAAACAATTCCAAACACATTCAGCCACCTTATCTTTCATAAGAGCCAAATATTTTCAGTGGAAGAAAGATGGCTTCTTTAATGTTGCTGTAAAAATTGTCTTTTTACATACTAAAAACTAACACTAGACTTGTGTTTAACACCATGCAGTAAACTAATATTGAAATGGGTTAATATCCTAAATATTAAAGCAGAAGTGCTAAATCTACTGGAAGAGTGAAGAGGTAGAACTTTGGAATTCATCAGAGTATATAGCAACTTCATAAATAAAACCCTCAATGCATGTGAAATAGTTCAGGGAATCAATTACTGGGATCTCATCTTATAAAAACCTTTGTACAGCAAGATAATTCACCAACAGAGTGAAAAGACAACCATGGAGTTGGAAAAATATTTTAACCAGTTGTTCTTCATTCAGAAGTATAATGTCTAGAACATATAAAGAATTTTAAAAATCAGACTCCCCAAGTTTGAGATCCAATTCACAAATGGGCATCTGAGCTGAATAGACAGTTCTCAGATAAAGTTACAAAGAGCAAATAAATATATGAAAAAGTGTTCAACACAATTGAGCACTTGAGAGATGCAATGGAAATGCTGTGATTTCATCTCACTTCAAAAAGAATGGTTATTTTTCAGAAATCAATCAAAAACAGCTGCTATCAGGGCTATGGAGCAAAAAGGAACACTTCCTCACTGTTGGTGGAGTGTGTACTAGTGTAATCAGTGAGGAAATCACGACTAGTGGTATCATTTGACTTAGCTATTCCCTTTCTTGTTATCTTCACAAAATAATTAAAAGCATCATGCTACATCAATATTTGGACACCCATGTTTATGGCAGCATAGTTTGTTATAACTTAACCTTATACAAAATCTCAAAGCATATCAACCACGGAATGGATAAAAATGATGTGTTGTGCTACTCAAACAGAGAGAAGGATAAACTTCAGACCTTCATAGAGAAATGAATATACCTTGAGAACATGCTACTAAGTAAAATAAATTGACCATACATGTTTAAGTATCACATTTCTCTATGGTTAAGAAACTAAATGTGCAAACAAGAACCAAAATGTATAATAGATATTAAGAAGTAGGAAGAAATTTTCAAAAGGAAGGCAGAGACAGGCTGGAGATTTAGCTCAGCAGCATAAGCGCCTCCCTGGCAAGAGTGAGATTGTAAGTTTGATGCTCAGGACCAAAAGGAAAGAAGAATTTGAGAAAAGGGAGAGGAGTACGAAAGAAGTGAAAAGAAAAACAAGAACAGAAAAATAAAATGCAATTAAATCTTTTAAATAATAGGACAATGGGATTGAAGGGTAAGGAGAGGAATGTTAAAAGATATCAAAACATATCATGTACAGCTGCACATTTCCTATGATGAATATGATAAATATGTATATCTGAAGTGTATAAAAATTTAATATAGAGGATTTTAAAATGTTATCTTCTTTTGTATTATTAAATTGAGAAAGAAAATATTGAATTAATTTATGTTCTTCATAAATTTAAATTTTCCTATCATCTTTTAAGTAAATAATTTCAGAATCAGAAGTTAGTGTAGCATTTACCTAAATGTAATACATTTTTCTTCCTGTATTCTTGCTTTTCTATAATTATAACATATACTCTCCAAACATACTCCATACATACAGTGTATGCAATATAACAAAAAGTGTGTTTCTAAGCATTTCTGTGATAGATGTATGAACTAATTCTCCAGATGAATCTGTTTATTATGTTACAAATATATATGAATAATAAAATTAAAAATCTATTGGAAGGAGAAAAGGAAAATTATTTGATTATTAAACCAAGCAAAAGAGAAAAAGATCTTTTTTCCTTTTTTGTCTTTTTTTGGAATACAAGTTGAGAAAATCAATAATTGAAGGGCTTTTTCATTTTATATTTTTTCTCATTTAGTGAAAACACTGCTGAATAGTAAAAAATAACCCTACTCAATGCGACAGTAGTTCCTCACACAACAATGAGTGTTCAGAGTTATAAAAATTCAGCAGCAGGCCCAGAGGTAAGACCAATAAATTTTATCATGAATAAAAATTAAAATAAGAATTACAAATGCTATTCTTTTTTGTAGCTGACTTTTAAAAATGGATAAAGATTTATTTTACCAGATATGAAAGTGTTGATTTTTTAAAGCCTATGATATTAAATCTTTGGTATGTTATGACTGCTAGAGAATATAGGCTTACTTAAGTAACTATCCTACTCGCTAGAAATATCACAAGTAATTTATATTATGAACTATTCTTCAGTGGATATACTAGTCATAGCAACATTGTATGACTCTTCCTAGTAGTGAAATCACTATTACTTTTAGAATACATAAGATTTTAATTTTGCTCTATGTGTATTGGAGTGCACCTTACACACTCAACACCATTTTGATGTTTTCATTATACTTATTATTTAAATGTTAGCATTAGTATAATACTGTGTCATTTGGGGCAAAGTAATATATTTCAACTAATTATTGATTCTGCTTTATTTTACATCACATTTTAAGACTAATATGAATGCCCAAGTGATTCTTTTAGTTCATAGGGTCTCTTAAAAATCGTAATTTAGATACACTTATTTTACATTATATATGGAGATTAATAGGAGCATTCCAGTGATCTTTCTGGCATGTAAGCTCACTTAATGATGTTAATTCAGATATGCATTTGTGCCATACTTGAAGAGAATCATTCGTAATTGAAGTCTCTTCTTGATGATATATTAACAATGATCAGCCAGACAAGTCATTTACTGTTAATAAATAGTGAAGAGCCAGGAGAATTGCACATATGAGGAAGAAGGAACAAGCTCAAATTACATGAGGAAACTTTAAGGAGGTTTAGCTTGAGAAAAGATGACTGAGTAATAAGTCCGGTAATTGATGGGTTGGGGTAGAAATGAGGTTTTCAGACATACAAAGGACTATCATGTAGAAGGAATCAACTTGACCTCATGATTGAATGGGGCAGTATTAAATTGAAAATGTTAAATTTAGAAAGTAAAACTTTATCTTAATGCAAACTTGAACTTTCTAGCAGTCTTAAATGTCCAAATGTGAACGACCTGTCTCAGGAGATACAAAGTACAAACATTTGGATAACTACATAAAGAAGAATTTGGATAGAAAAATTAGATGTTGGTAAAAGGTATGAAGCAACTAAAATGAAGTGAACTGGTACAGAAAGGTGCTTATTCACTTGCATTGGTTTGTATGAATAGCTTTTCTATTTGAAATGATGTTTGATAAAAGTCAAAATTTTTCTTATTTAGAAAAAAAAGTTGGAAACTCAATGTCATTCTACATTTAAATATTTACATATCAAATGGCTCTATCCTCATTGTTGTAAGCAAAAGTTTTTGACACAGATGACTATCAAATGTGTTATGTTCAAGATGTTTTTTATTAAAATGTTTGCAAAATTGAAGTGGAATGGTAAACATTTTCTCAAAATAAATAGTAATGTAAATGAATTGGTCAAATTTTTGTCCCCCTTAAGAATAGGCCTGATTGATTTGAAATACTTGTACTTATGGTAGAAATGAGGCATTGCAAAAAAAAGCAGATGATAAAAAGATACATCTAAGTTAAAAATATTTATTTTAAAATTTTATTTTTACTAAGTTTATTCTGAATTCTTCCCTACTGTTTTACTATATCTCTTTGAATTTCTCTGGGAAAATTTTCCATGATTTTAAACAATAATACAAGTATAATATGCCATGAGAAAATGAGTCAGTGCTGCTAGTGAGCAAAATATTCTATGCATATAAAGCAGTAATTTTAAAACTTACTCCCAATGCCAAATTATTACAGATGGTAATTTGTTCTTTCTTTTTTCTTTTTTTTTTAAAGAGAAAAACCCCACAAAAATCAAGAAGGAAAGAAACAGATAAAAAGCAACAAAAGCAAAATGACAAAACAATGACAATTTAGGATTTCAAAAAAAGATATTAGGAATTTAACAATGGTTGTTATAATTGCATATTGTTACCATCAAATTAATTGCTCGGGATACCAGATAAAAGCTTGCAAGACTGATCTGGCAATATAATTTCCTTTTGAGCAGTTTTTTTTTTTCCTTTTTACTATATCTATTGCAATTTTTGTATCTTATTTACTCTTTCAGTATTTTACACTAGTGAAACAAACACACAGGCAAACCTTCTTTATTTCACTTATGAGTCTGGTTTCTAACTGCATCATTTTTTTTCTACAAATTGAGTGCAGATTGTGGAGGAAGAGAACCAGGCCCCACTGAGAGGATCACCTCACCTGGAATCTGGTGCCATGTGCAGGCTGCTGCTGGAGTGGGGCAGCCACACTGAAGCCTCTCTCTGTGAGTCCACACCATATGCAGACTGCAGGGAGAGAGAAGTCGACCTCACAAGGAGGTGGTCCCTGCTTGGAAACCATATCATTTTCATTGTTTTCTTGGGCTGGGTTTATTCTCTTCTGTTTCATTTGATTATGGTAAATCTGAAGGCATGAGCAGCTATTTAAAATATAGCAAAGTATATTATGGTAGCCATTTTGCATTCACTATTGGCTTATTTTGAAGGCTTTTATTACTCATTGTTTTGTTTTTACTTTTTCTAGCCTATTCTACTCTGTTCGATTTTTGCTACATCTGAAACTATCTGCAGCTATTTTGAAGACAACAAAAGGCTTAATGGTGACTATTGTTGATTTCACAAGGTTTTGAAGTTCTGTATCACTTATACTAATTTATTTTTATTCATTTTATCCTGTTTAAAATTTTAAAAATCAAAATAAAAAGCCTCTATTTTAATATTCTTTAGGGCTGAGTAGCATTACATTATATAAAAATACTACTTCTTTTTTATCCATTCTGGAGATTTTGGGCATTTGGCTTGTTTTGAAGAATTAACTACTACAAATTGTGCTACTATAAACATGAACATACATTTAAAACTGTGGTATGATGTTTTCAATTCTTCTGGGAAATATGCAGAAGAGGAATAGCTGGGTTGAATGGGATGTCTAATTCTCATTTTTTGAAGAAATCTCCATAGTGATTTTCACAGTGGTTGTACCTGTCTACACTCCCCAAAACAATGGAGAAATGTACATTTTTCCCTACAGTCCCATCATCATTTTATTGGTTAATATCTTGAAGTTAGCCAATCTTTTGAATTGAGTTAATATCTCGATGTAGTTTTAATTTGAATTTCTAGAATGACCAATTGTGTTGAGCATTTTTGAAAATAATAGCTTTTTGTATTTCTGTGTTTTTTTTTTTTTTTGTTTGTTTGTTTTTCTTTTTGAGACAGGGTCTCGCTATGCAGTTCAGGCTGGCCTTGAGCTCACTTTGTAGCCCAGGCTGGTCTTCTCCCACTTCAGCCTCCCAAGTGCTGGAATTACAGGCATAAGTCACCACGCCAAGCTAGGTTTTTGTATTTCTTCATCTTAGAATTATGTGGTCATCTCATATGTCATTGTTGGATTGGATCCTTAAATATGAGGATTTTAATTTTTTTCAGTTCTTTATACTATCTAGACAGAAGATCTTTGATTGAGAGACAGTTGGCAAAATGTTTTCTATGGGTTTTCTTTCCACTCTCTTGTTCAAAAGCCTTTTAATAAGATGACACCAGTTGTTGATTCTTTGAAGTACCTCTCATGCACTTTCGTTTTGTTCATGAACTCTAAGGCTATCCCTATGTCATAGAGATTTTGACCTACTTTTTCTTTTATGAGGTTTAGTGCTTTTGTCTTAAAATTTAGATTTTTTAAAATCCATTTTCACTTCACTTTAGTGCATAGTGATAGGAATTGTTCTAGTTTAAGTTTTCTGCATATAGAAAAGCTCGTTTTTCTAACACCATGAATTAAAGAAATTCTTTCTTCCAGTGAACATGTTTGCCCCATTTTTCAAAGATAAGTTGGTCAGGTGTGCCTGTAGTTATAGCTGTATCTTCAATTGTGTTCTGCTGATCAACACATCTGTTTTCTTGTGTGTGTGTGTGTGTGTGTGTGTGTGCGTGTATACCATACTGATTTTATATTAGCACCTTTTAATGTAATTTCAAGTCTGGATTGTGATGTCTCTTGCCTTGCCTTTCTTGCGCAGGATTGACTTTGCTATTCTAGTCCTCTTATGGTTCCATGTGAATTTCAGGATGTTTTCTCTAGGTATGTTAGATATGCTAATGCTATTTTGATCAGGATCACATTAAAACTGTATAACATTTTTGGGAGTATGGCCATTTTCACAATGTTGTTCTTCATATCCATGAGCAAAGGACATCTCCATGTTCTGAATTTCGCTTCAATTTCTTTCTCAGAGCATTTAATTTTCAAAGCATAAATTTTTTTACTTCCCTTTTTAAATTGATTCCTATATATTTCATATTTTTTGATGTTATGGTCAAGAGTGTAGTTTTCCTAAGTTCTCTCTCACAGTGACTTTTTTTTTTTGGTGTGTGTGTGTGTGTGTGTGTGTGTGTGTGTGTATGATTGTGTGTGGACATGTGCATGTACAGGAATGCTATTTACTTTTGTATACTCATTTTGCACTCATCTACACCACTGAGTTTCTTTTATAGGTCGCAATCCTGTTGGTGGAGTATTTGGGGTTCGCTATTTAGAATACCATTCCCCTGTGAATGATGATAATTTAACTTCTACCTTTATTGTCCTTATACCCTTTATTTCTCTCTTTTGTCTCACAACCCTGGCTAATGCTTCCAGAACTATATTGAAGGAGTGGTGATAGTGGACAACTTTGTCTTGTTCCTGATTTTAGAGTGACAACTTCAGTTTTTGACCATTTAGTATGATGCTGGTTGTTGGTTTGTTATGGATAGCTTTTATAAAATTGAATTAAAGATCATCTGTTCTGATTATCCTGAGATTTTTTTTTAATTTTTTGGTACTAGGGATTGAACTAATGACCCTGTGCTTGGCTGGCAGTTGCTTTGCTGCTGAGCTATATCCTTTCTAGGGTTTTTACCAAGAATGGGTGTTGCTTTCTTCAAAAGCTCTTTCTGAATATATTGTGATGACCATGTGAGTTTTGTCTTTTGCTCTGTTAATGTGGTGTGTTACATATAATGATTAGCATATGCTGAGCCACCCCTGTATTTCTGTGGTGAATCCCATTTGGTTATATTATAATCTCTTTGGGATGATTTGCTGTATTCTGTGAGCTAATATTTTATTAAGGATTTTTGCATCTAAGTTCATTAGTGAAATTGATATGTAATTTTCTTTTTTGGTTGTATCTCCCTGTTCTTTTGGTATCAGCATAATATTTGCCTCCCAGAATGAAGCAAGGAGAATTGCTTCCCTTTCAATTTAATTAAAGAGGTTGAGGAGTATTGGCATTATATTATCTCTAAATTTCTTCAAGATTTCTGCTGTGAATCCATGAGGACCTGAGGTGTTTTGCTGTTGGCAAGTTTTAACTATGTATACAGAAGTTTCATTTTTCTTGATCCAGCTTTTGTAGTGTTTATGTTTATAGGAGTCTGTACATGGCTTCTGAGTTTTCCAGCATATGAGAATAAAGCATTCAAAAGTAGATATTGAAGATCTTCTATTTTTCCACAGGCTCTGTAGTGATTTTACTCTCTTCATTAGTTACTGCTTGAATTTGAAATTTTTCTCCTTTTTTGATAAGGTTGGTTAGGAGTTTGGGAATTTTATTGTATTTTTCAAAGATCCAAATGCTCTATTCAAAAATTTTTATATTAACTTCTTAGTCTCAATTGGATTAATTTCTGCTATAATCTTTATAATTTCCTCTCCTTTTTGGGATGAGTTTTTTAAAATATTATTTAGAGAAAAAAAAAACAAAACAAAACAGAAAAAAGGTATAAATAATACATAATTTCAAATAAAAATAAACAGGGGGAAATCAGTAGTTGATAAATTACACACTGTCCTCTTAGAAATATTTGTTCAAGTTGCAAAACTAAAGCATACAATTTGGACGTTTAAACAGTGAGACTGAAAAGAGTTCTGTTCAACTATCCAAGAAAAATTTAGTAATATTGTTATCAATTGTTCACACTTCAATTGTTCATACATTCAATTACATCTTTTAGAACATTTTCTTTTCCTCTCTTTTTTTACAATAGCAATTGCACATTTAGGGTTTATTACTCCTACATATCTCATTTCTTTTTATACTAGAGACACAGTGTGATATTTAAGAATATGATTCTTGTTTATTTTGCTAATGAGCATAGCCTCAAGTTTTCTCCACTTGCCTATGAAGGCCACAAGATCATCCTTTTTTATAGCTGATTAATATTCCATTGTATTAAAATATCACTCTTTTTCATCCCCTCTGCAGTTGAGAGGCATCTTGGTTGTTTCCAAGATTTAGCTATTAAAAATTGTACTGTTATGAACATGGGTGTACATATATCACCGTGATAGGAAATTTTCAATCTTTTTGGGAAAATACCCAGTAGGGGAATATCTGGGTTGAATGGAATTTCCAATCCTAGTCTTCTGAGAATTCTCCATACTGATTTCTATAGTGGCTTCACCAGTGTACACTCCCACCAACAGTGAAGTGGTGCTCCTTTTTATCCACAGCCTCATCAACATTTTATATTGGTTGATTTCTTGATGGTAGCCATTTTTTTTGATGAGAGGAAATCACAATGCTGTTTAAATTTGCATTTTTCAAATAACCACTGATGGTGAGCATTTCTTCGTGTATTTATTTGCCATTTGTATATCCTCATCTGAGAACGGTGTGTTCATCTCTGGTGCCCATTTTTGGAGAGAATCTTTGAACTTGGGGAGCTTAAGGTTTTTCAATTCTTTCTATGTTTGGATATAAGTACTTTGTCTGAGTGGTTGCTGGCTATAATTCTTTTCCATTCTGTGGGCTTTCTTTTCACTTTGCAGGTGATTTCTTTTGAAGTACAGAAACATTTCAATAATATGAGATCCCAGTTGTTGATTCTTTGAAGTGTTTCCCATGCAGTTTGCATTTTGTTCATGAATTCTCTGCCTACTCTTATGCCTCCAAGATTTATAGCTCCCTTGTCTTCCAGTAGATTGTGTTTCTATTTTACTATTTAGAGATTTGATCCATTTAGACATTAGTGTTGTGCATGGTGGTAGGCATGGATCTGCTTTCAGTCTTCAACATGGGGAGAGCCATTTTTTCCTATACCATTTATTAAAGAGGCGATCCTTCTTCCCATGAACATATATAGCCCCTTTGTTAAATATCAAGTGCCTGAGTGTCTTTCTAGTTGTGCTTGCATCTTCTAATCTGTTCCATTGATCCACAGGTCTATTTCTTTGCGAGTACTATGCTGATTTTATCAGTGTGGCTTTGTAGTATATTTTTAAGTCAGGAAATGTGATGGCTCCTGCCTTGCTCCTGCCTCATGAACATGTGATGGACTTTATTGAAAGCTTTTTCTGCATCTATTTAGATGACCCCGTGGTTTTTGTTTTTACCTCTGTTGATGTGTTGTACTAAATTTATTGATTTGCATATGTTAAACCATACCTGCATTCCTAGAATTAATCCCACTTGGTCATGGTGTGTAATCTACTTGATGATTTGCTACATTCTATTTACAAGTATTTTATTGAGAATATTTGCATCAATGTTCATTAGTGAGATTGGCCTATAGTTCTCCTTTTGGTTGTTGGGTCTCTTTCTCTGGTTTTGGTATGTGAGTAATACTTGACTGTAGGAATGATTTAGGGAGGATTACTTCCTTTCAATTTCATTGAAAAGTTTAATGAGTTCTGGCATAAAATCTCTTAAATTTCATGTAGAATTCAGCTGTGAA